TTCAACGAGAAAGGGTGCAAGACTTACTGTCACACATTGTCTTAAACTGTGGTTTCTTCAACATGCAAATGGTAAGCCTGTTATGATCATACCAGCAGGTACAGCAAAAATACTTCCAGCAAACAAAGAGTAAGAGGGTTTCCCTAATCTCAAAAAAAAAAAAAATCTACAGAGAACCTGCAGCTTGATTTATAAGCTAATAAACAGGCGATCTAAACAACATATTTCTCTGGTGGGCATGAGCATGAGCAGCATGCTGCTGAAGCCAGGGGAGGGTAAGCGCACGGTTCCTCAGGGTAGCCGTAATATACATATTTTATTATGTTTAACTATCATGTCATCATATTTTTGATAGAGAATGTTTTCAAGTGAATGGATTAGGATGATGAAATGAGATTAGGGGTTCTGTCTCCTGGAAAGCCTTGTTCAGACACAGACAAGCCAGGACCAATTTCATCTTGGGTGAGTGCAGGTTTTGTGCATGTCTGTAGCTGCACCCCACAGTCCTGCTGCGAGGCTGTTGGAGAGACTGTGTGTCAGTTCCGCCTCACATTTCCAGAGCAGATGCAGCAGGAAGACGAAGAACCGGGAGGGTGCTGGCTAGTGAGAGCGGGGCTTGACCTGAAGAAAATGAGGGAAGGGTGGAGGGTAGGCAGGTAGAAGGGTTAAGTAAATGGAGATCGGAAGTAGCTGTAAGCTTTTGAAATCGTTTGTTTTTACCTGGGCAGTCAGCGTGTGGAGCCGGTGAATAGAGACAGAGCTGTGGGGTACAGTGGGTGTGGGTCAGAGATTAGTGGACTGTTGGAGTGGAGAGTGCAGCCGGCGATGGAGTCTTCTCCTGAAGGGAAGCAGGGTTGACCCTCCCTGGAGTTGGGAAGGTCACCTGGAAGGGTGAGCGCCCATTGCATGGACAGGTTTCCACATGGATACGGCAGCTAGACGGTGGGGCGAGTCTGACGGGCAGATGCCTGACCGTGCACTGAAAGTCTTTGTCTGTAGATAATGTAGATATGTCTTTGAGTGCAGGCACTGGGAGACAAGCTTAGAGATAATTGACAGCACCCCCACCCCACACACAGCCACCCCCAGAAGCTTCATTGCTCAACTCCTGGGAATGGTACCCTCTCTTCCTGCTATCCTCCGGTAATCTGTTTAAATTCTGTAATCTCCACTAACAGGCACATATTAGATTTCCTGAAGGCTCTCTCTGCCGTCAGCAGCCATCCCACACGCAGACATGAATGGGTGTCGCAAGCCTGCCTCCAAGACCGAGGCCAGCGATTCCAGCAAGACGTGACGCCCCGAGTCGGTTCAGTGCATCTTCTCTGCTGGCTCGGTGGTCTGGTCGTAGTGCAGGCAGCCTGTGTGGCCCTGCACTCTCCGGCCATCCTTACAGAAGGGGGGCCTTCCCTCCCAAGCATCCTGGGTCCTAAAGGGCCCCTCCACCTTGGCTGCCTCTGCATTTCCTGTGTTGTTGGGGACTGTGGGCAGGGCTCTTCTTGGGTGTCTGAGAGCTGCCAGCTGTACATTTCTAGGGGACATCTCCACCTGGCCTGTTGCTCTGCAAACTGGCAGGATGCTTACTGGTCCTAGAGGAGCAGACTTGGTGTTAGGTGCCATCGGGTTGGTTTCAACGCGTAGGGCCTTTATGCACCACAGACCCAACTCTCCGCAGCCCTGCGCCGTTCTCACAGTCGTTCCTGTGCCTGAGCCCAGGCCTGCAGCCACTGACTCACTGCACCTCGTCAAGGGCCTTCTCCCTGCTGTCCTTCCCCAGGGACTGGTCTCTCCTGACAGTGTGGCCGAAGTATGGAAGAACAAGTCGCACCACCCTTGCCTCCAAGGATTCTGGCCATGTTTCTTCCAAGACAGAGCAGTCCGTCCTTTTAGCAGTCTGTGGTACTTTCGGCCTTTTTCTCCAGCACCACAATCCAAATGTACTGATTCCTTGTTCTTCTCTATTCAGTGTCCAAATTTCACATGCAAGTGAGACCATTGAAAATACCATGGTTTGAGTCAGGCACACCTTAGGTCTTAAAGTGCCATCCTTGCTTTTCAATACTCTGAAGAGGTCTTGTGCAGCAGATTTACCTATTGCAACTTGTCTTTTGATCTCTTGACTGCTGCTTCCATGAGCACTGATTGTGGATCCAAGCGAGACCAAATCCTTGGCAACTTCAACCTTTTCTTCATTTATCATGATGTTACTTGTTATCCAGGATGCCCATGTCACCTGCCAGGACCACTCCCACTGCCCCTGGAGGAACAGACTGACTTACCCTATCCCACCCTGGCCTGACTAAATCTGGGTCATACCAGACAGGACTCTGGACAGAAGTCTTCTGAGACCCCTCTCAGGTTCAGAGCTACTCGGGATCCAATGATTGCTGTGGACAGCCATCCACCTCTTAATTGTGTGGAAGATGTGATACTAAGATGGCAAATGATTTGGGGGTGAGATACTTCCAGCACCACACAGAACTGGACAGGTAGGAGAAGGACGTGCAGGACTGGGCAGTGCAGGACTGGGCAGTGCAGGACAGAGCAGTGTAGGATGGGTCAGTATAGGACTGAGCAGTGTAGGACTAGGCAGTGCAGGCCAGAGCAGTGTAGGACAGGGCAGTGGAGGACGGTTCATTGCAGGACGGGCCATTGCTCCCTTCTGTCCAACCCAGGTCACCATCCAGGGGACTAACCACTTGGCCCGTCCGATTCAGTTGGATATTGCAGAAAGAACAAGCACATTCAGAACTATCAGATGGACCTCAGAGATACGTGTAGCCTTTAACATGAGAGTTGGACAATCACTCAGGATTGTTTAAATAATTAAAAACTTGATAATGATGCCACATTTATATATATATATATATATATATTTGCTTATTCATGTTTATCATTGAAAAAGTGAAGCCTGCAATGGGTTCACAGAACACAGAGAGGAATATGGGAGGAGTCACCATGTTTGTATTACGTGAACACAGAAATTAAATAACATCTTATTCTACTTGGATTGAAATTACGGCACTTCAGCAAGAAAGAAAAAGGGGCGCTCATTTTAGGAATGATTGGTTAAAAGATAAAAAGACAGCCTTATTAATTGCCCTCATTCTTTTTCTTTTTTCTTTACATTTTAAATAAGTATAGTAAGATGTGCCATTTTAACTGCTTTTACGTGTATTGTTCAGGGCTGTTAACTGCATCTGCCATACCGGGCAGCCTTCACCACGGGTTAGGACGGCCCAGCACTCACCTGCCCAACAGTGCAGTGCAGGAGGGCTTTGATATACCTGTGGCTGTGGGGCAGGGATTAATGCTGGCCCTCGCCCTTGCTCTGGGAATGTGGCCTGCAGATAGATCTTCCCTGGTGCTAGATGGCCGGTGGACGAGTTATGTCCTGTAGCCCTGTTATCAAAGGAGGAAATAGGAAAGAAGCCAGTGGTCTCTGATGGTGGCAGGTTTACTTGGGCAGAGCCCCTCGGTGTCTGTCCAAGCCCCCACCAGGCCCACTCAGCAGTGCTCTGTGCCAGCAGACTTGTCTGGGATGCGGGTGCTGGAGGGTGACTTTGGGCTGAAGCTCAGCGGGGCATGGGTCCACAGCACCTACCTTTGTTCCTTGAAGCTCTTTGAGTGAGGGGGCTGCCAGATTCCAGGAGAGAATTCCAGTGGAAAGAAAGACTAATTCTTGTGCCCTGGCTCCTGAGGTCTGCTCCTCACAGAGGAGCCCAGGTGGGCCAGGCTAGACCCAAGGGCAGGGCAGACGGCTCCCTGACTCACATTGTGCCCTTGCTGTCATTGAGAACACACACACACACCCAGGCGTGCACCCACACACATTACTGTGTCTCTGAATGGCTTCCCCCCGAGAATCCCTCCACGGGCTCCCAGTGCAGCCCGTCGAGTTGCTGCTCTCAGTGTGACCCCACCGAGAAGGGACCTGCAAAGACCACGACCCTCCAGACCGAGCTCTCTCTGGACTGACAGTAAGCTGTTATTTAGGGTTGCCGTGACTTTGGGGGATTGTTCTGTCTGAAGGCTTTTTTAGTAAAAGGCAAAAGATTTATGCGATCTGAAGAGAAACCAGAGTATTCTCTTACGGTTTTTGTAAAAGAGCCTCTTTCAGATGAGACAGCGAGCAGAGTCACACTGCAGAGCAGGTGGATGGGTGCGGGCCCAGAGCCCGGGGTTCGCAGATGCGAAGCTCTGCACGTCACCCAATTCATGAGCCAGGCTCAGCGCAGCAAAGACAGCGTCCTGCACCCCATCTGGGTAAAAAGGTGCAGCTTGGGCTTGATTGCCTGGTTTTAGTGGGAAATCTGCCTGTCTTCCTCAGATAGGCCCTACCTCCCAGGGAGGTTCCCGGGTGTACCCACGTGTTAACATTCTACACACACACACACACACACACACACACACACACACACACACACACACACGGCGGGGAAGGGGCCACGGGGCTTCCTGTGGAGCGTTGGGTATGCAAAGGTCTTCGTCATTTGTCGGGTTGTGTTTTTTAAAAACCACGTATTTTAAAGCAACGACCTTAGCTCTTACAAAATAAACTCACCCCTTGGGTGTATACTTTAAACTGTATCACCTGGGTGGTGCAGTGGGTTAAGCTTTGGGTTGCAAACTGCGAGGTTGGCCTTTCTAACCCACAAGCGTGGAGTAAGAGTGGAAGATGAGGCTGTCTGCTCCCATGAAGATTGGCGGCTGTGGAAACCCACAGGGGCAGCCTTACCCTGTCCTGCAGGATTCCTCTCTGCTAGTCAGAATAGATTCGATGGCAGTGGGTTTTTGTTTTGTCTTTAAATATACATATGGGGGGCTTTCGAAAGCCCTCCATGGGGCTGCTGGGAGTCAGAACTGACTGGAGGGTAGTGTTTGGGGTTTTTCCCTTTGTTTTGCTTTTAATCTTCCTTAAGATTTATGCATCGCCGCTGTTTGATGGTGGGAAACCCTGGGGCCGTGTCTCAGGGCCTCACAGGTCGCTCCCTCTGCAGGTTGCTGTGCCACGCCATGAAGGACCACATCGTGCGCGTGGCAAACGAGGCTGAGTTTATTTTGAACCGGCAGCGGGCGGAGGATGTTCACAAACACGCTGAGTTCGAGGTAAGGCTTGCGGAGTGAGCTCCAGTCTGCGATTCTGCGTCCGACTTGTGGGGTCTGTTTCAAAGACTTGGGGGCGGGGTGGGGGCAGGGTGGGGGCAAGCTGCGGCCAGTGCCAGACTGGGCTCCAGTTCTCATTCACCCGCCTCCTCTGTGAAGAGAACACCCCCCAGCAGGCCCGCGTGCCGGACCGAAGACCCCTACTTCTGTGCCGTTGACCTTCGGGCAGATGAGGGGCAGTGAGCGGTGGTGTCTGGGTCTCCTGCTGAGTACTGTGGCCCCTGTCCACTTGGATGAAGAAGACCCTTGTGGTTCATGTGCTCTTTCTGAAGTCAGCCGTTTGTTCCTCGAAGCGTGTCTATTTTTATGGTGAGCAGTGTGTCATTGATATTTCTTGACATGCATGCACACACACAGGAGCCCTGGTGGCATAGAGTGTTGCATGCTCGGCTGTTAACCACAAGGCCAGCACTTCAAATCTGCCAGCCACTCCTAGGCAGAAGGCAGACTTTGTGTCCCCATAAAGATCGATGACCCCAGAAACCGTAGTTTTACTCTGCCCTTGAGAGTCACTATGAGTCAGAATTGGCTCCACAGCAGTGGGCTGTTGGTGTGTTTTATACATGAGCAGTCTTCAGAAAATTCATGCGAAAAATCCCATTACTTTTCCATGAACTTTTTGAAGCTACCTCATATATGTGACCAAGCCGAGTTTTACACACAGACACACATCTATATATACATATGCCTACACACAAATACAAACACATCTCAAAACGTTCATAGAAAAATAGGGTTAAAAGATAATGAAAGTTTTCTACACAGTTTTTGAAGCCCCTGCATAAAGGTTTAATGTGTTCATATATATGGAAATATAATTATTTAAACCCCCCCTAAGTAACCTGGGTAGAGAACAAATTATCTATCATTTCTATTTTATGTAGTAAAAAAATTAAAGTACTAAATATTGACTGTTAGTATTTTCATTTAAGATGGTATTTTTAAATGTGTAATATTTTAGTAGTGTTTAACATTTCTCTATAAAGAAATCTAATTTCAACCATTCATTCCATTGATACGTGGAGTACTGGAGTGACTGGGCCTTGATTTATGTCGGCCCCACGGTGGCCTTGAAAGTAATCAGTAGCTCCACTACGCGTTTACCTGGTGTTCAAGACACCGACCGGGAAGACGGGATGGAGATTGGAGCCTCCAGCTCACTGGGTGGCACATCGTGATACATCAAGCTCGCTCTAGTGACTAGCTAGCCAAGAATCAAGAGCCGGACATCACGGCCTGCTGTAGTTCTGATGTGCACGCATGGCCACATCTTGATTTGGGGAGGGGAGAACAGCGGACACTTGCCACAAGGAGTCCTGACAACCTTATTTGGGGGGGGAAATCAAATTTTTTTTTAAAATAAAATATTTTAAAACTTTGATAAAAGTGCATTTATAATGAAATGCTTATAAAAATTTGAATACTTATCGGAGCACTCAGGCTTATGGCAAGGGAAAAATTGAGTGAGTTGGTGCTTGAAGATTATGTTCAGGTGTAAGTCATGTCAGAATTCAACCCTAAAGAAGAAGATCTGATGAGCTCTCAGAGCCTGTGAGTCCTTATGTGTTAGAGTATTGACTGACTCCCTGCGTGATCAGTCTTGAGCCACTCACGCTTCCCCTGAAGACGTCAAGCTCTTTGGGGGGAGAACCCAAAGGAATACGCCAAACAGACGGTTCGAGGGTCGAGCAGCTAGACGATCCTTATGAGCTTGGACACAGTGCAGGTGAGGGTGGGCCCATGACTCGTGACACCGCCCCCCACGCCAAGCCCCTTTTTTGACATCTCATTCCTAATTGCTCCCCAGTAACCACACACCCCTCTGTGGACTATGCCCAGTTTTCATGTGGGGTTAGAGATGGAAAGAGTGAGGTGTTTTCCGATCATCCAAGTGCACCCTTCACTCATTGACTGACTCACACCCGGTGAGGAGGTGGGTAGCTGGCTAACGGTTCAGGGACAAGAGGTTGATATTTTTAGAGTGTTACACATAAAACATCTAATTCTGAGAATATCATTGGGATTTAATGAATGCACTTTTTTTCAGTACAAATATTTGCATTTGTTTTGATTTTTTCCCTTCAGCTAGAGTTGTATCAGGAAATGCATTTGTACTAGTGACTTCAGGGAGTTGTAGAACGATTTCGTGATCTTTTCATTCCATTGTCCCACGAACCTTTTGAAGCCCTCTCGTGCGTCTGTGTGTGTGTGTGTGTGTGTGTGTGTCTGTGTGTGTGTGTGTTAGTTACCAGGCACTTTGCCTTCTTGAATTGAGCACTTCATATCAAAGTCCTGACTTGTTTTGAGGAACGTCTGGGGGCCTCCTGTAGCCCCCACAGCCTAGGACAGCAAGAGGCTGTCTAACCTGAGATAGGTATACTGCAGCCCTTTGTCTCTCGTTAACCACTGTGATTGTTAAGGAAGAAAAATGAAAATTTAATTTCACTCTCCAATGAGCTAATGAAATATTAACCTCATTACTGAAGCAGATTATTGTACTAATTGGTGATTCCCTGTACAAAAAGATAAATTGGCGAGTGAATTAATCCTCTACGACGACCTCGGGTTATTCCTCAGAAACACATGACCTGCAGCGGCCATGCTGCATTGTAGATGGACAGAAAGGATACCTTCAAGGTCCTCTGTCACACAGACATCCACCGCCTGATGGATGGGAGCTAGTTAGTGAGCTCCTCAGATGGATGAGTTTTCCCTTCCCGGCCCTATCACTCCTGAGACACACTCGCGGTGTCGCCCCAGACAAAAAACGAGTGTACCTCCGCAGTCAACCTTCTAGGGAAAGCCATGTTCATGGTGGACTCTGCTGCCAAAGGGGCCCATTGACAGGGTTGATGCCAATGCCAGCAAGTCCAGATGTGTGTGCCTGTGGCTGCCTGGACAGAGAGGGGAAAGGGGAGCCTGGCCTAGGAGTTACTGGGGGCCACCTTGAACGTGTGAAACTTCATTGTTGGGTCCTCATCACACCACACATGATGTGGGGCTGAGGCCGTGACAAGATGGGACTTGCACTCGGCTCCCGCAGTCCCCGTCCAAGTCCCCATGCCCCTGGCTGCTTTTCCTGGGCACCACTCACCACGCACAAGGGGGACACGCACAACTCCAATGGCATATTTTTGATGGGTGCATGGTTACCAGGGACACTGCTCTTACTCTAAGTGAGATGTGCACAGGAGCTCTGGTGTGCTGCTGGTTACTGACCAGTTTGAAACCTTCAGCCACTCTGCTGGAAAAAGACCAGGCTCTCTACGTCCCATGACAAAATAATAATAATTTATAAATTATCAAGGGTTCATGAGGGAGGGGAGAGTGGGGAGGGAGGGGGGAAAATGAGGACCTGATGCCAAGGGCTTAAGTGGAGAGCTAATGTTTTGAGAACAATGAGGGCAATGAGTGTACAAATGCGCTTTACACAATTGATGTGTATGGATTGTGATAAGAGTTGTATGAGCCCCTAATAAAACGATTAAAAAAAGAAAGAAAGAAA